AAAATTTGATTTTGTGAGAGCAATTCGTACAATCCTGTAAAAAAAACTTAATTTTGTAAGAGCGATGCCATAAAAATCTTTATTTTTGTTAACCATATGATAAATTTCAACTTGAGGGTGACCAATTATGGGTGACTAATAAGAATTGGTTATATAAAATATTAGCCAATTCTTATTCGTCACACAACAATTGGTCACACCTTCCCTCAAGATCAGATACGTTATCTCATTTAAAAGTTCGTACAGTAAAAACTATAAAATAGTTGTTACCGTATTTTTAATTTAAAAACTTAGAATCATGGATTATACATCGCACGATCTATAAATAATATTTTAAAAATTGATATTTAAAAATCTACGTTCTTTCACAGCATTTTTAAAAAATACATTTATTATTATTATTATTACACGTATAAACTATTTTAGTGTGTATTTTAATTACATGGTCATTCTTTGAATATCATCTTTCACTTTCTCAATTTCTTTATTCAAGTCACTATAACACTGCACAATTTGTTCAAACTCACCGCAAACACCCTGATATCGTGAAAGTTGTACTTCCAATGCATTTAATTCCTTGTGATAATCTTTTTCCTCACGCACAAGATTGTCCCTATATTATCATTTAATGTAAAATTTTTTAAATCAGACTTTATGGGTTTAATAAAAAAAATAACAAATTTACCTTATTAACACGAGTCTATCTACTGTTTCTTTATCATAAATAACCATCAAGGCATTTAATCTAAGTACTCTAAATTTGTAAAATATAAGCTTTCTTACTCAATGCATAATAACGAAAATAAATAAGATTCCAACCTCAACTTTAAGCCGATATTTTTAACAAGCATTGAAAAATAGTCGTTAAAAATAGTATTTTTTGCTAATTCATGACGTAACTTGAATTCCTCAATAATATTCCAAAGAATGGATAAAATATCTTTCATTATCTAAAATTTATTAATTAAGAATATGTTTAAGTTAAATAAATTACTTAAAGTCATATCTATTACATTTTATAATACCGGTATATACTTACATTCATATAATTTGTTATTTGGTTACCCAATTGAATTTGATTCATAACTCTATTGATTTTTGCAAGCCTCAATTCCTCAAGTTGAAAGATTATTATTTTATCCAATTGTTTTTGTGTTTCAGGTTTTGATTCTA